TTGCATTTTGGTGCGTCGTAATCAGTTTTAGAAGCGTCAGTATTGTTATGAAGCTTATTTTGTAGTTGTCCTGATGCACCACTCCCTCCACGTCACTTTGTAGAGGCATTCTTTGGAGGCTATCTTATTTCTCTGATCGACATTGGTAGTAGTTTACTGATGTGAATAGCAGAATATTTTATTGCAATTCATAAATATTCCCTTTTCCCTCAATGGAAAAGGTACAAGTTTCGATGAACTGAAATATTTGTGTGTGTGTTTTGGGTAATTTAAAAAGATTTCCACTATTTACTCAGTCTTTTCTGTTCAGGAGTTTAAAGTTACATGTTTATTGTGGAAAATTGATAATACAGCAGAAAATCCTCCTCCCCCAACTGTGGCAAAGCAAGCAAAAAGAAGCTGGTTTCTGTATTTTTTTAAAAGAATCACTATTTATATGTTCAGGCTGATACATTCAGGTTCACTTGAAATTTAGAACTTCTGTACTTCTGCTTAATCTGTTCATTGGCACAAGGGGAAGTTCGACACGGATGCCAAGCTCTCAGACTCCAACCTGTATGAACTTAGCTCCAACTCTTACTGAAAAGAAGTTAAGCTTTTGGGGCCACAGACATCTTGAAGAAAATTAAAAAATAATGGGTGAGAGGAGGAATGATGTATTTGTGTTGTCAGCGGAATGTGATGGCATCATAGCTATGGAATCTGGGATGATTACTGTCCATCAGAAACGCCTTCAGCAAAGCACTGAATACCTTCTCTCGTCATTGGAGCACAGTGATGTTTTGCAGGAACTGGCCTATAATCAAGATACTGTTTTGCGAGTTAAATATGAATCAGTTTCAAGCAGAAGTTAAATTATTGGTTTAGTTCCTGCTTCTCAAGGCACATGTATGGAATATCACTTGGACTTACTCAGGTCATGCAGCAGGGCCGTTCCACAATCAGCCCCTCTGTTTGTTTACCTGTCTGAAAGGTGACCTTGGTTCTTTTGCATTTTAGATGAATATCAGAGTTGTTATTCCATAAACATCAGAATTCATTTACATTCCTAAATCCATTCTGGCAGTCATCAGGATACTTGCAGGTCAGGTAGCAAACAGAGAGGAGGTTTCATTCATATATTAGCTTTAAACTGTAGGATTAGTGTATTTCTTCATTTTTTTCTTTTTTTTTTTTTTAAACTAGTACACAATCTCCTTTGTACGTCCCAGAGGTCCAGCAGTTTCAACCAGACTGATTATTCATGCCAAAAAAATATATGGACTTGCTATTTGTTTGTCTGTTTAAAATAATTTTTGGGATCTGGGCTGGGAGACACAGCCTGTACCGTGTCACAACTGTTCAGTCAAACGTGGTGAAAAGGAATAACAATTGGCTGATAAACACATTACAATTTTTGTATTTTTATGTTGTGTATTATTTCAGACTTGGTAGAATGTATTTGAATAACAAATGTACTTTTATAAATCAGTATTCACATGTAAATGGTTCACAAGTCTAGGATTGTGTTGAAAACTTTCAAAGTATTTTTTAAGTGGTAAACAAAGTTTTTAACTATTTTTTGATTGTGGAATTTGACCTGGGAGGGGAGGAGCACTTGAAGAGGCTCAAAGAGTGACAGTCAGAACTACCTATCTGAATAAAATCTCTGCTGGTTTTTGTTTTATCTGACATAATAGTCATCTTTAGAACCAAGTCTTTTCTCACCGTATCTCACCTTCAGTGAATTCATATGAAGGACATGAGCCAAAGCTGCATATTAATGAATGAAAAAGAATTTTGGGTCCAAAGTATAATGCAGGTAGCAGGAGTTTACTGGAAGAGTGAGGAAAGGAACAAATATTCCTCTTTGCGTGCATATAGGGAACTTTCAGTGGCATTAAATACTTTAAGCTGGAATGCTCTTCTATTTTTTCTTATGCTCTCTGTAAACCTATGGGTATATAATATACCACTGCTAATGGTGTATTTAAAGGATCTTTATTCTGATTTCCACTTTGGTTTCAGATGGTACCGAGTTCATTTCCAGCCTGGATGTTGCAGTGAAATTTTCAGATGCTGGTGAGGCAGAGCACCTATTTTGCTTTTCCCAAAGTTTATAATTGATTCATTGAGTATTTAGCCAGGCATTCTTCCCCAGGCTTTTTCTAAGAAGAATGAGCCATCTGTTCAAAATCGCTCTGCAAACTGACAGTGGAATATATTGTTCATGTTGTACTGTTTTTACAATTCTATGGGACAGAATAGTTAGATCTCTAGAGTTATTTGGCTTATTGTCTAGATTTAGGAACTGTTTTTAGATTTACATTCTTCCTGCAAATACATGCAAGAACAGACACTGAATGGGCGTTCAAGTTTATATTCCTTTGCAATATATATTGTGTATTGTTAAGGTGATTCACTGACTCTCTGTGAAACTAATTCTGTTCTTAATCTTTGGTATGAATCAAAGTTGCCTTTTTCACACAGGAAAAAAAAAAAAACAAACCAAAAAAACAAACAAAAACCCAAAACCCAAACAAACATGTAAGGAAAAGCAAAAGGAGACCTAGTTTCAAACTGCATTTTTTGTTTCTCTGTGTAGATATTGCAATGATTGTTTTGTTTTGTTTTTTTTTCCCCACTCTTATCTGTGGAAACTACTGTACATTTGCAGTGAAAAGGTAGTAATTATTCAACTTTTGTAATATTGTTGTAGGAATGTTGCTAATATTTTTGGTTTCCTTGAAGAAAGGTACTCTTTGTTCAGGAGCCTTTTTTATGATAGGTGGAATAGAATTTTGCATTTTAGTTCTGTATGGTATAATATTGTTTTCAACAGAGCAGTCACCCACCTATGCGCAATCACACCTGCAATCCCTTCCATCTTTGTTGGTTTAGAAGCCAGAACATCATATAGAGTTTTTCGTCTGGACTTTGGTGTGTCACTGCAGAAAATAAGCATCTGTCTCTGGTATTATCTCTCATCTTTTTCACACCAGGATTGGGGTTGAGTGCAGAAACACTTGCTTTGCCTTCGCTACTCATAAAATATTTGTTGGGTGATGCTGTTTACACTTTGATAAAGTCTGTCTAATACCTAGAATCCTGCATAGCTACTTGTTTTCTAAACTATCTGGATTTATGATGCCCTTCCTCCACTGACGTAAGCAAAGCTCCACACCTATGTTTTGAAAATCATTATATGCAATTTACACATGAGAAAATGAAGGCACATGGAGATTAAGCAGCTTTATTTATATTTATTGCTATCATTATTACTTTCTGTTTGTCAAGAGAACAAATGCAAGACTGTGAGTCAGGAACATGAATGGAACATAATGTAAGGAATATCTTCAGAAATAGTTTCACAGAATACGGGCAGCAAACTAGACTGGTTTTGGTACTTCTAAGTTTAGTAGTTGTACTTTATCAGCTGATTATGAATCAGCTTTTCTACACAGCTAAGTAGTGAATCTTTTTTTGTTGCAAGAGAAAGTTGGTTTTGTTTTTTTGACGTACATTTGTGAGCTTACAATAGCTTTCTTTGCCTTTAGCTATCTGTGCAGATTGCAAGCCTGACTTGAGGGATGCTGCAAGTGTATTCTGAAGTGTTCATGTAGATCCAGCTATGGTTGATATGTTCATATATTTGCAAAAGTGCTCAGAGAGAGAGTTTCCAGGCCCTCTGTGAAGCAACTAGAGGAATAGCATTTGAGAGGGATATGAAGCATGTTAAACTTTTTGAACGCTCCAGAACTGCTTTTTTCAGCCATTGAGGTACCAGGAAACAGTACAGATACCAGCTGAGCTCTCTTTACAGTCTTTCTTTCTGTAAGTGTAGTAAAAGACAATCATGCTTATTAACTTGTATCAGAAACTTCAAAAAGTCATTTTCTGTTACTCTTAATTCTGACAAACCTAAAGTCTTTGGTCTGAAATTTTCCATCAGCTCTCTGTAGAATATAAATTTTTTTATGTTTATGCTAAAAATATTTCTTCATTTATGAAAGTAAATCTAAGGGAAAAAATGTTGTTACTAAAATGTTCTTGTACTATTTTGTTCAGAAGTATTGGAACTAACTGTTTTGGTAGCGGACTCCTGAGTGTTTTTTTGTCTTCCTTGTGAGAACTCACCTAAATTTTGTCAACTTACTAACCCCTAGATTCTCCAAGGAGTGTATTTATACGCAGCCTGCTTCTTGCTGGTTTTGCAAGAGCCAAGTAGAATCTTTGAGACAGTCATTTGTTGTGAATGCCAGGGACTGCCCCAGTCCTTGGCATCAGTGGTGAGAGTCAAGTGACATTAGTTGGTGCCCTGTGCTTGTTTCCTGTCAAGGAAGGGTAGGAAAAATACAGGGAGGGGAAAGTGAATGGTAGAAACATAGGGTGAGGAAGGCAAGAGGAGAAGAAGGTGAAAGATGGTGCGGAAATAGGGCAAAACAGGAGTGAGTGGAGTGGATATACATACTAGACAACAGGGCAGATGATCAAGGAAAAAAACTGTGGGAAGCAACTGGGAACAGGGGTAGGATGAAAGAAAATAGCTGGAGGGGAAGGAGGGAGGAAGGAGCTATGATAAGCAAAAGGAGTTTGAATGCTGAACAGGGATAGAGGTTTTGGATCTTTCTGATCTCTGTAGCCTTCTGATTCACCAGCTACTCCTTTAGCTCAAGGGGTAGTGGGTTGTGCAGGGCTGAGCATGGGCAAACAGATTTTCCTGGAATTTGTGTTACGCCTGTAACACACGTATTGGCATAATTCTGTATGGTAGCACTTTTATTCAAGATGCGTAACAAAGTGTAAGAAATATTTCTCTCTCTACGTGCATATTCGGTAGTTATAAAATTGAAAAGCCCTTCTCTCAAAAGGTGGGAAGTGCCAGAGTTGTGCTTAGTCCTGCAGCATTTATTCAATCTTCTTGTCTTGTGGTACTCAGTCACACAGTATTTTTCAATGATAGTATACCTTGGTGATAATGCTTTACTTTCCAGAGTCTCTGTGGACTTCCTTTGCTGATGGCAGAGTCAGGCTGAGAATAGATAACTCGTGTCCACAGACTCCCATAACAGTTCATCAGATGTTCAAGGAGAGCCTGGAAAAATACGGATCCCTTAATGCTTTGGCCAGCAAGAAGAATGGAAAGTGGGAGAAGATAACTTTCTCAGACTATTATTGCCTCTCCAGGAAAGCGGCCAAGAGCTTCTTGAAGGTAGACACGGGAAACAAAACTGATTACTTTTTCTCCCTTTGACTCCTTAAAAAAACCCAATAAAACAACAACAAGAAAAACAAACACCCCAAAACACAATATAAGAGGCTTATCCTATTAACTGAACATCAGCGGTCATATTTGTTATGAAAATTGGGTTTGGTCAAAGAGGTATCACTGCTGTCAAGGGAACTTGACTGCAAGTGAAGAGCTGCTGTGTTACACTGACTCACTGGGGCATGGGTACAAAGCTCAGCATAAGGCCTTAAGATAAAAAAAAAAGAAAAATAGGTGAAAGCAGCACTGTCATGAATTTGGTGAGAGACAAATTTTAAAACATTCTAAACATAGCGTAAGGTTAGTACTCTTTATGCTCTTATTCATATTGAAAAGTTCCTAGATTTGGGCCTTTCTGGAGAGCAGAGCTCAACCAGACAGGAGAAGATAGTGGAAAGTTTACATCATGTTAATTGCTGATAAATACTGGCTTTGCTGTAGATATCAACACAGATGTGTGTGGACACGTCTTATCAATACTGAAATAATAAATAAATCGAAACTTTCCCTGTTTTATATTTGTATGTATGTTTCATGCTATAGGTTTCTCTCCAGTGTGCCTATATTATATAACCTTATGCTTATTATTTTTAAGCTTGGTCTTGAACGATTCCACAGCGTAGCAATCCTTGGATTTAATTCTCCAGAATGGTTCATTTCGGCTGTTGGAGCTGTTTTTGCTGGGTAAGATATTTTTTTTTGTTGGATTTGGGTGGGGGGAGGATTTGGGGATTTCTGTTTTGCTAGGTCTGGAAACATAACAAATCGGTGTTTGGTGTCCTATCTTGGAAATTGTGCTGCAGCTGATTAGCATGTTCAGCAGCCTACTGGAGTCTCATAGCTTTCAGTATATCTGAAACAGTCCAGACACTCATAAATTGATCCTGTTTGCTATGGGCTTAACTGTGACAGTCACACAGAAGCTGTTGTACAGTATCTTATCACTGAAAGATATAGGAAACAGATGAGACTCAGAGTTTTATATTAACAATAATTGTCTACAATAAGATATGTTCAAGTAGATGAATTGACAGATAAATATGAAATAGCTGTATTCCTTATGTCCTGATACCTGTTTATACAATTTAGATTTTACCTCTTAAGCTCTTTCTGTGCCAGTGAAATTCATATGGGTATCTGTGTGCAGCTTGAACACAAAAAGGATGTGAGTGGTTTGTTTTTTTTTACTGCTTCATGAGCTAACTCTCACATAGCCTCAAGTGAGTTAAAATGCTCAATCCTAGCCTTTGGCATCTTAGAGTTCAGAGATTAGTTTTTGCAATGTGCATTTATCAGAGATATTCATGTATATCTGAATACTTGAAACAAACGTGACAGCTGTGCTGCTTACTGCCACATCTTCATATTTTTTCACCTCTCATTGATCTCTGATTTATTACTCTCTTTTTTGATACGAAGTGCGTGTATATGTGTCTGTATGTGTGTGTGTGTATATATATATATATACATTTTTGATACAGAGGAATTGTCACAGGAATATATACAACCAATTCTCCAGAAGCCTGCCACTACGTTGCTCATGACAGCAAAACCAATATCATGGTTGTGGAAAATCGGAAACAATTGGACAAGATAATGCAGGTACAAGGTGGCTGAATGGTTACTTAGAAGCCATAATTTTCCCATTTCTCCATACTGTATTGGTCCCAAATACCATATGCACTATCTGTATCGTGAAGCCTTTAATGGGAGTGTTCTTCAGAAATTTGGTGTCTGGTGTTTGAGCTATTGGGTAACTAGCAGCTCTGTTCACTACAGTGTCTGTGGCTCACATCTAAGCAGTTCTGATTCTCTCCAGCTGAGAGTTCACTGGCTGTCTCACTGCAAACTTACCTGGAAAAAAAACATATTTTGATCCCACGTTTATGATGTCATCACTTGATTCTGTTTGGAAAAGCACAGAGCACTTGAATGGAAGAGATTAGGATGATGCCAGTATTGAAAGGCCTTCCATTTAAATAATAGGGATGTTAGTGTTCAGAATTTCCTCTTTTCAAAATGTCATCTTTTCCTTCTTGTAAAATTGACCATTAAGGCTGCTGAGTTTACTGCACTTTGGTAGCATGATGGTTGACATGATACAGGCTGCAACGAGAAAAGAGGCAGCTTTTTAAATGAACAGCCACAGTTTTCACAAAACTCTTTGGCAGCTTTGAGTGGGTTTCTGCAAGAGTGCCATATTGAAAAACTAACTTGACGGCAAGATCCCTGTTGCATGACTTGAAGGAGCACAGGGCAGTTCCCACAGAAGGGCTTCTCTGTCAGTAAGATGTTGAGGGAGACCCATGACTGGAGATGAGTCATCAAACTTGCACCAAATTGCACTGTTTGCTGAAGCAGAGGGGCCCTCCATGATGAAGTTTTCTGCCAAAAACCTGTACCTGCCAGAGAGAAAATATCTGTGGATTTTATTCAAATGTATTTCATATAAGTTTTACATTAATTGCCTTGTATTTTGTAGTTTTGTTTTAGATGCGATTTGGAGGAAGAGTGGGGTGTTTTTTTTTATAAGTATTCTGGAAAAACATACAATCAGACAAGCCTTCTTGCAGTGTCACTGACTAAATACCAGGCTATGCTGTCACAAACATGGAGAACAGACTAAACTGAAGAACTTGTGGGATTTGATTCATACACATTTCAATCTAGAAAAAGAAAAGACAGCTCTGGCCAACACTGCTTAATTCAACTGAGGGTTTTTTGATACTTTTTTTTCTGGAAGAACCCTAAACTGAAATAATATTTCAATTGTTATCCTTCCGATAGTATATACATAATGGCTACCATCAAGCCACTGCTTTTGTACTAGCGCAGGTGGATCAAGTCAGTTTAGAATGTGATTAATTCAGAGGCATCTACGAGGCACTGGATCCCACCAAGCTCAGCAAAATGAATGCTCTGTGCGGGCTATACAAAGCGGAGAAAGAGCTACTGAAAGCAGCAGCCATTGCTGTCTGCCTGTAAGCCTGCAGCTTTATATTTTTATTTATCCTTAAAATGCGTGTATGGCTTCCTTTCCTTTTTTGTTTAAGAAAGAAGAACATTTTTTTAGCAGTTTAGCAGCAGTTTTTTTGAGGGACTTCCTCTGTCCTAATTGGTAACCATAGCAGCTAGCGTCAGATTCTAGCTTGACCTAGACTGTTCCTTGATGTACCCTTTGGTGCATTGTGAGAAAGGAAGCTGAAGAGCCATTTCTGATGGTTGGTTTTTCAATCTTTTGACTGAAAGTAGATTTTCTAGAGCAGAGTGTGTAGTGTTGTGTGTGTCTGTACCGTTCCCCCCTGCCTTGTTGAGCTAATTGGTTATGAGTATAGGGGAGAATATTTGAGGGTGGAGGGAAATGGGAGGTTTCTTGTGACTGTCAAGCTATTATAATTTGGGCAGTATTTTAGTGGAAAAAAAAAAAAAACAACCACACAAGGTATGAATAATGAATTTGTTTTAAAAAAATCCAACAGATCTGGAATCGCTTGCCATACCTGAAAGCTGTTGTGCTATATAAGGACTCCATTCCAGAGAGACATCCAAATTTGTATACGGTATGTGAATGCTAGAACTGAGTTATAATTCATGGGGTATTATTTATTTGATTAATTTCTGCTATGTAGAATGTCTGCCATTTAGAATGCATTGCTGTGTTCCAGCAAACACATTCAAAAGCTTCATCAGCTCTTCTGTTTAATTTGCCTGTAACTTCATGTTTGATACTTGACATTTAAAATTAGAGCTGCCTTGCTTAACTGTCTGTCTTGTGTCTTCCTGGCTTTTTACTTGACTGGATTAACAAAACACCTATAGGCTTCAGGTGGGAATGTGTACTCTCAAACTGTTAAAAATAAAAGTTGTTCACTGGTGCTAGTGAAAACTGAATTGTGGTTAGTTACACTGAATCCAAGAACATGAAAATGCCTGTACTTTACAGTTGATAGTTGCATTATGTTTGCACCAAATATTTCTGGTGATAGGCGTCAAGTGAAGAGAAGTAACACAGAGGAGCACATTTTTTTTAGTATATGTAGAATCTTTGTATTGCATGTTAAAAATAAAGCAGAAAAAGGGATGAAGCCAAGATCAGAAATTTCTGAGTGGTAGAAGCCTAGCCTTTCATTTAAGAAATACGAGGACTTTAAGCAGAACAGATTTTTGTAAATATGTTATTCCAATATATTTTTAAAATATAATTGAAAATAGCTTAGTAAGAATACAAAAATTGGAGTTTTAAGTGGACTACAGATTATTGGATTCTGGGCTGAAAAACTTCCACTGCGAGGAAAAAAGATATTAATGAAGAGTAAACAATGTAAAAGTATTTTAAAAATACTTGCAATTTTGATACGTACTGGTATAGAGTATGTCTTGCATCTCAGTACAATAAAAAAAATTAATACAGGAATGATCTTATTATTTATATTTCTTAGTAAAAGGAATAAACGCGAGCAATTAATTCTGGAACAACATTCACTTGCTGCAGCCTAAATGCCTGAGAATTGATATATTTGAAAACATCCCTCTTCAGGTGTTGTGTTCGACACATTTTCTTAATGGAGAAGGGTAGCTGTGAGAGTATCTGACAGTTGACATAGTTTGTTGTCTAAAGAAAAAATTAGAGATCAAATCACCAAAGGCAGAAATAATTGTTTATTAAGGCTGATGTAAAGCAAACCACCCGAACCACATGGCATTTGGTAAAAGGGATTTGTGTTACAAGTTGCCAGCTAATATGTAATGAACAGTTGCTGCAGTAGGGGCAAAGCCCTAGTTCACTGGTCAGTGCATGTTTCCAGAAGGCAAATGCAAAGTCAGTATGAGTGTGTGACTGTTTGTTTGTACCTTTCGCACTCTGTGGAATGGGAGCGCTGTCTGTTGCAGGTACTGTTCAGTAAACAAAGCCAAGGCAACAGATTCACAGTGGCTAACACATTCTAGTATGAGAATTCAGTAAGGTCAGGAAAACAGAAACAACTGCCAAGTCACATAGAAATAATTACATCCTTGACACCTCCAGACTTTAAAGGAGCTAGGGAAACTGATGCATCCACATGCTGTGGGAAGGGATAGGATGTGACAAATTCTCTACTTGCTACAGAGCTGCGCATTGTACTGTCTTTCTCTTCAGAGATGTGGTTTGTTCAAAGAAAATATAAAACTGATGACTGGTAATTAGAAGAATCCTTAGGATAGTGATGCCACCCCAAAAAAAGCAAGTGTATGTGCCTCAGAGGCTAACTATTTTAACCTTAGTAGCACACTGGCAATGGCAGAGGTCTGAAGGAAATGGTGAACTCCCCATCAAGCACAGATTCTCCTTTTTTATCTCTGCTGTCCTTCGCATCATCCCTTTTACTGCTATGTGGTCGTAGGTATATGTCCAAGAAATCATTGAAGAATGGAGGTGCTGCATCTTGCATTTGAATGACACAGTTCTGTAGTGCTCTATGAATCATCTGATTCCAATGGGAAACAGACAGTTTGGTTATTGACTCTGGAAAATTTTGTTATACTCTAGTTTTCAATTAGCATTGAAATCAATGGTACACTTAGCAGCACATCAGATGCATGCAATAGAAGTATCTGGGAACAACCAATGTAACATAGAGGATCAGGTTCAGCATTCTTCTGGACCAATTTGTGTGGCACAAAAGTCCAGTATCATAAAAGGTTTAGCTCATTCTAGATTGAGCCAGATTTGAATGGAAGTTGTGACCAGCATCATATGCATTGTTTGCTATAAAATAGCAGATAATTTGGGCAAACATTCACACATCTAGATGATGATGCTCTTGCAAAGAAGCTTTCATCCAATTGCTTTATATTTATATAGAGGAGAAGGAATTCTCGATGGAATGTCACAAGTGTACTCTTAAAAATGGTACATCCAGATTCCTTTAAATAAGACTCAAAATCATTCTAACAGTGTGAGTAACAGAATTTTAGCCTCTGTGACTTGTCCACAGTATCCATCTTGGAGGAGGAATAGTGTTACCATTCTCTTCTTAGACACTGAAAAGGCTTATGGCAGCGCAATTTTAGATAGCCTATTTACAATTCACACATGAAGTTCTAAGCTAGTCTTACCATACTTCTCACACAGGCAAGACCTGGCAAAACTTGCCTTGGAAAAATGTTCAGAGCAAGGCACTGAAGTTTTCTGTGTTTTTTGAGACTGATAAGGTACTACATCTTTCCCACTTGTAAGAAGTCATTTGATATCCTGTGTTTTCTGTTACGTGTTCTAGATGGAGGAGTTTCTGGAGTTGGGAGATGACATATCTGATACTACTTTGGATTGTATTATTAACTCCCAAAAGCCGAATCAATGCTGTGTACTCGTATACACATCCGGAACAACTGGGAAGCCAAAAGGAGCCATGCTGAGTCATGACAATGTATGTACCTTAGGGTCTTCCTTTAGCATAAAAATAGCAAAGTATGAGGATATTTATTCCTGTGTTTTGAAATTACTAGTGCGTACTAGAGCCTTGAAATCCTTTTGCTTTTGCAACGTGGATAGTGTACTATAAAGCAATATTCAAAATGCAGTCGGCTATTTCTGGTAAGTATAAATATGGTAACGAATGAAACTCCATTCAAACTAGCACTTCACCAGGTCGAACAGTTTGTTGTGAATATCAGTTTTTTTATTCACTGGTTTTCTTATGAGATATAATGCATATTTTCATAAATATAATTCACAGATTGCCATAAAGTCTCCCAGGTGATGTCACAGGTCATCTTAAAACAAATGAATCGTATATATCAGCCAATCACTATCAAAACAGCCTGATAGACTACTTTTGCAAATTTAATTAAAATTAGGGGTGGATGTTTGGGTTTTTTTTTGCTTTGGCATTATTAGATTCCTGGACTTGGGTTTCTATATCTATATCATTGCAAACAGAAAATTTTCCAGTGATAGAGAAAAGCAAACTCATTTGCAAAAAGGACTTTCCTCAGAGGTCTGCTAGCAAAGATCTGGACTGTAGTTGTTTTGGAGTTTCATATATTTAAATTGTTTTAAGGTTGCTGAGGGGGAGTGGAAAGTGGTAGGGAGCTTTTCTGAACATACAGACAATCTGTGAAAGGGCTGGTCAGAGTGGTGGCCTTTCCTCTTAGAACAATGCAGAAACTATTGCAGAT